GAGGCCATGCATGTCATTTCCAGGGGCTGGGCCTGCTCTCACACACACCATCAGCACCCTCCCACACCAGCCTAGCTCACCTCTAATCTCCTTTTACAGCCTCCCACAACCTTTGCCCTCTGTTTCTCATGCCTAGAATACCCTTCCCTCTGATGGTTGGCTCCAACTCCCAGCTCAGGCCACCCCTCAGAATGACACCTCCAGTAGGAAGCCCCATCTTCCCTCTGCCCCATCTGCCATCTCCCTCCCTCCAGAGCTCTTGCCATGGGAAATCAGCTGCCTTGTACTGTTTTGTTGTTGTTGTTTGATGTTGTTTTGTTTGAGACAGGACCTCACTCTGTAGCCCAAACTGGCCCAGAACTTGCAATTCTCCTGCCTCAGCCTCTTCAGTACTGAGATTACAGGCCTGCACCACCACGCCCAACTTAAGTTATTGTCCTTGGACACCCCCTCAGGACTGTGAACTCTAGAGGAGCAGACACCTTGTCTGGGTTGTTCCCAGCAGCAGTCCCAAGCACCTAGAAGAGATGCTGTCACACAGCAGGCACTCAGCAAGCACCTGCCAAAGCCATGAGCAAACCCTTCATGTTGACTGAAGTTCTGCCTCCCTTTCAGCATAGGACCTCGCCTGCAAACTCCAGCCCCAACGCTGCCTGTGTAGTTCCTCAGCAATTAATCATGTTCTGTCAGGTGATACCCTTTGTGTTGTCATTGGAGGCTGCGTCTCATTTGTCTCTGTCTGGCCCCAGGGCTAGGCACATAGTAGGTACTCAGTCGGGGGTTCCCTGTCGTTAACCTTCCTCACCTCCCCTGGGTGAGTGATGGGCTGGCAACAGACATTGCCGAAGGCATAGACACAGAGACACATAGAGACAGACACGGATAAACACAGACACACATAGAAACATACACAGAAACACACAGACACACAGAGAGGCACACATGGAAACACACACAAAGTCACACAGAAACACATAGAGATAGAGACACACATACACATAGAATCACACACAGAGAAAGAGGCATACATGGACACACAGGTGCACATACACACGGAGGCACACACACACAACACACGCAGGTTGCCTGGGAGATAAGGGAGGATACACACACACACACACACACACACACACACACACACACAACACACGCAGGTTGCCTGGGAGATAAGGGAGGGGCTTATCTTGGTTGCTGAGGCCTGGCAAGAGGACCCACGCCACCCTATGGGAAAACTCCCTCTGGGGGCAAGGAAAGCAGCTGGGCTAGCCAGAAAGACATAGGTCTTGACCTCAGAAAGTCGGAGTTCCAGCTTAGGAACCAGCTTCACCACCCTGGGAAAGCTGTTCGTTTCTCTGAGTCTCTCCAAAAAAACTATAGTACTGTTGATAGAAACCACTTTGAACATCCAGCGCTTAACACGGCCAACACTCCAGGAGCTCCTTAAAGGCTAGCAAGAAAAATAGCAACAGTGATAACTGGTGTCAAGAGGCTCCTGCGGCCACAGCTTGCTCAGGGTTAACCCCTTTGTCCTCACTGTTGTTTTAGGTCCACATCAGCCCTGCTGTGACACCATTATTTAGCACCATCCCCAGGGTGAAAACAGACTGATTCTGAGAGGTTAAGTAACTTATCCAGGTCACACAGCTGACAAGTGAGAGTCAAGACTCAAACCAGGAAGTCCAGCTTCAGAGTCCACCTCCTTAAATTTATTCATCGAAAGAGCAGTGCAAAACTAAAACAGAACCTCACTGCCTCAGTTTCCTTGTCCATCAAATGGGTCTAAAGATGCTACTTGCTCACAGGGGGCTTATGGGAAAGCAGTAACAGGCAAGAAAGTGTCTAACACTGAGTGGGCTCTCAATAAGTGTCAGGGGCCTCTTGTTCCCTCGCCCAGAGAGACAGCAGCCCATTCAAGAGTTCTGAGCAGAAGGCCGCAGGGAGCTCGAAGCCAGCTGGTGGCACAAGTGTCGGCTGCTCATTTGGTAAATGGGATTTGGTTAGAGAGATGAACGCTGCCACTTCTGGCTAATGTGTCATGTAAATTCTAATGATAATACAGCCTGCGCACAGCACAGCACCCGCCCTGCGCTTGCCGCCGCTCAATTATCTCCTGAGGCTCTGGCAAGATCCACGCTTTGCTGGGACCTGCGCCCCGGCCTGCCTTCCCCAGACACAAATAATGAAAACCCGCCTCGGCCGTGAGATTGCTCACTTACATTTTCTATTAATTTTTCCCTTTCAGAGGAAAAATGAGAGGAGCTGGGGAAGGGGGAGGAAGTGGGGGTGGAGCTGAACTGCCTTCCAGGGTTGCAGCCTCTGTCTCAGGCATTACCAGGGACATTCTGGTCAGGGGTGGTCAGACAGCAAAGACTTCAGGGTCATAGCCTGGGGTCACCACATCCCTGAGCCAGTGGAAGGGCATGGTCAGAACCTGGAAGTCAGAACCCCGACCCTTGGGTGGAAGGAGGCATTGAGCTAGGTGTCAGTCACAGGTCTAATTCTTTTGCTGTGTGACTTCAAACAGATCACTTAGCCTCTCTGGATACAGCTCTTGCAGCTGTAAAGCTAGGAGATACTGATTGGCTGGTGTCCAAAGGCCGTCCTGGGCTCACTGATTGAGACTCCCAGTCTCAGGGACAGACTTCAGCTCCTTACAAGGATATCCCAGCAGAGAGGACAGGCTCTGAGAAGAATGATGAGTACTCCGTCAACGAAGGTGTTCAAGCCATGGCAAGGACTTGAAGAGACCCACCATTCTTTCTGGAAGGTTCTGAGTCCCCCCCCCCCCAGGATACTTACCTAGGGTCTGTTGGCTAGAGCAGGGTAGAGTGTGGAAGAGCAGGAGGATTGTCCCCTTCTTGAGAAAAGAAAGGAAAGGCTTAGGGAGGGAGAGCTCCCCCCATCAACCCCCATCCCACCCTGTGTCCTGAGTGCATGAGGCTAGTGGGAAACTGCAGTATCTTCCACGGGCTAGAAAGGATACAGACTTGAACGTGATGATAGCCCTCGCTTTCGGGGACCTGTTTGCATTCCAGTAAGAGAACACAAGCCATTACTCTGAAAGAAGTATGTGGAAGAGGGAAAAGAACATAGGGAAGCCCAGCAGCAAGAAAAGGCCACCCCCTGGAGTCTCCCTGGAGGAGGAGTCTTTAATCCCCAGCTCTGTGATGGTGATTCAGGGATGACAGCATCTAGCATACAACAGGCACTCAATAAGAAACTGCAGGGGTGTGTGTGGAGAAATGGCTCAGTGATCAAGAGCACTGGCTGCTCTTGCAGAAGAACTGAGTTCAGCTCCCAGCACCCACATGACTAACAACCATCTGTAACGCCAGTTCCAGGGGCTCCATCTGATGCCCTCTTCTGGCCTCTGTGGACACTGCATGCATGTGGTACACTCATACACATAAAAATTAATTGCTTGAAAAAAAAATATTGCAGAGGTCTCACCACAGTCAAACTAAGGAACCCAGGCCAGAGGCCACAAAAGAGCCCTAAAACCCAACACAGGAGCAGACATGAATCAATAGCTCCTGATGTGTCTGGAAAGTGAGTGGACAGGTGTTGAGCAGGTGGATGAGGGGTTCTAGAACCACTGATAAACAGTCAGCCCTATTTTGTAAAAAAGTAACCATAAAGCCTGTATCATCATTCACATGTCTGTGGGGAAGGACAAGAAAGGACACACAGCATGTGGACTAGCAATAACTTGAGGTGGGGGTAAACTTGGACTTTAGACCCCAGCTTCTTAAACTGTGGGTCATGACCCCAAGTGGTGTCTCATAAGCAAATGCGGAAGTCGAAAAAAAAATGTTGGTTTCTGAACACACAATGATCAAGAATTCATTCAAAATGAAATGTGTGATGAATCTGAGGGGTCCTGTGACTTCACTGCATCCTGGGTTCTGAACACAACACGGGCACTTCTCACTGCATATGCCATCATGCCACCAAGCACCAGAAAACGCTGCCTGCAGACCCCAGCTCAGACTCCATATTGTACATTATATGCAGCTGTGTTTTTATTGTACACAGAGTTTTCAGCGCCAACAAAAATAGAATGCTTTAATTACAGAAAACGAAGACCTTTAATATCTTCTACTGCCATTCTTCAACATGTAAGTATCAAATTAGTATATCTTCAGATTGTATTGTGCTAGAATGTTTGATTTTTTTAAATTTCTGTTTGAGTTGCTGACATGAGTTTCATAAAAACTCATTAAATGAATTTTGGCTTGGGATTAAGACAGAATTTCCAACAATTTCTCAAATGGCCCTGAACACACTTCTGCTATTTGTACTGTGTATGCAAAGTGGCATTCTCAACATTGGTGATTCTCAAATCAAAATATCGATAAACTCTGAAAAACACTGAAGATGCTCCATGTTCTACAGTATCAAATATTCAGCCAAGATATAATTTTTAATGCTTTTCTATGAGACAGGGTCTCATGCAGCACAGGCTAGCCTCAAACATACTATATAGCAGACCATAACCTTGAACTCCTGATCCTCCTGCCCCCACCTTCCAAGTTCTGAGAGTATATGTGTACACTACCATGCCCAGCTAAAATTTACTCCTTTGTGTAAAAATAAGCAAGCACACCCATCTCAAATTGCAAATTCACTTCATCTTTTAATACATGGTAAAATTATATGTATACCAAAAAAAGCATTTAGAAATTTTATATTTTCTTATCAATAAATGTTTAATTTCTGAACCTATTTTATACATCTATATACTTGAGGTCAAATAAAGTTTTCTCAAGTGAAAAGGGTTTATAAAAAGGATTAAAGCTGGGTGTGGTGGCATACACCTTTAATCCAAGCACTCAGGAGGCAGAAGCAGGCGGATCTCTGTGAGTTCAAGGCCAGCCTGGTCTACATAGTGAGTTCCAGGACATCTGGGGCTACAGGGAGACCCTGTCTCAAAAAAAAGAAAAAAGGATTAAGAAGACCTACTCTAGAACTTTCTTATAACATTAAAAACTGATTTGCAGATCCTTTTGTAGTTCATAAGCGTGATGATTGGGTGTTCACGCGCAGGCGTGACATGTGCCGCCTCAAACCTTGTTACGCACTGGCACATTATCCTTCTGACGTGAAAAAAAAAAAACTGATTTGGGAGCTGGAGATATGGCTCAGGGGTTAAGAACACTGGCTGTTCTTGCAGAAGACCTGGATTCGAATCCCAGCACCCATATGGCAGCTAACAACTGTCCATAACTCCAGTTCCAGGGGATCTGACATCCTCTTCTGTCCTCTATGGGCATGGCGTAACATGGATGCACTTACCTACATGCAGGCAGTACATGCATACACATAAAAATAATAAATAAAATACTTTTTTTTTAAACTAATTTTGTTTTTTGTTTTTGTTGTTTGTTTTTATTGTTGTAGTTTGTGTTGGGTTTTTGAGACAGGTTCTCACTATGTAGCCCTGGGTAGCCTTCAACTCTGTTGACCAGGCTGGCCTGGAACACATAGATATCTACCTGCCTCTGCCTCCCCAGTGCTGGATAAAGGGGTGTGCCACCACACCTGGTGTGTTTTGTTTTATTGAGAAAGTGTCTCTGTAACCCAGGTTAGCCCCAAACTTCTTTTGTAGCTAAAGCTGGCTTTGAGCTCCTTATTCTCCTGCCTCCTTCTCCCAAGTGCTGGGGTTACAGGTATTAACCACCACACCTGGCTAAACACAAATATCACAAATATAAGAGAGCTGGGAACACAGCTCAGTTAATAGAGTGCTGGGAACATAGCCCAGTTGACAGAGCACACAGGAAGCCTGGGTCCCATCCTTAGCACCAAATAAAACTCGATGTGATGATGTTTATCAGAAGCTCAAGGTCATCCTCAACTACATAGCAAGTTCCAGGCCAACCTAAGCTATATGAGACACTGTCTCAAAAAAGAAAAGAACTATAAAAACTAATTACAAATTAGATATAGGTCTGAGAAGATTCCCACATATTCTACTCCTCACACAATGACTGCTTTCGGCCAGGAAGTCCTGCTAAGCACCAAACCTAAATTCTTGTCTGTTTACAGCCATACCACCCTGAGCATCCCATATCATCTAAATTCTTCAAGCTTTATAGTTTCCTTTTTGGGTGGTCTCCAGATAAAAGGCAAGAAGCCGGCAGGGCTCTAGCCTGATGGTGGCTAACACTGCCCTCTTATGTCCTGGGAGCTGCCCCCACCGCACAGGAGTGAGGAGAAAGGAGAGAGGTGCGGACTGGCCCCATTCTGGGGAGAGCACCCACCTCCAAGAAGGGATTTTCCTGGAGGCGTTCTCATCACCCCTTCAGCTCCCAGGACGCGTAGGATGCCTTCACGCTCAACATATGTGGGATCTTCTAAAACGGACGGGAAAGGAGGAAAAATAAAATCTGTTCCCCCAGGTCTGTTGTCTCAACAAGCAGTGGCCTCAAAAAAAAAGCTTCCCGAAAGAGGCAATGAGGGCCAAGATGGCAGAGTCCCCAGTATACAGATGGGCAAACTGAGCCCAGATGATGTGAGAGAGCTGACCCTAATTCACCCTACACAGCAGCTTAGAGGCAAAACTAAGACTAGAATGTGAAATCCTTGGGTTGGAACATGAGAGCAGAGACGAGGAAGGACAGAGCCCCAGAGGCTGAGGCCTGGTGAGGAAGGGAGAAGAGCTATCCAAGCTGGTAGACACAGCGGTGCTCCTGGGCTCTGGGTCACATGCAGGTGCTGGAAGATGAACATGATTGGTCCTGTTCACTACCTCCAATGTGCACCCTTCCTGTAGCTGCAATGGAAGCACATCACCAGTCTGGCCCATGATGACAAACAGAAGGGTGTGTCACCTCCAGGCCAGAGTGTACCCATGCCAACAAAGCCGCCTGAGCTCTCGTCCCTCTCCCAGCAACTGGCAAATCCAAGATGGCAGCTGCACCACTAGCCAGACCCGAAGTGACAGGTGAGCAGAGTCCCTGCTGACCCTTGTTGTCTGTATTGTCTTCACCCAACGAGACTCAAGGGTGTTTGTTACAGTACCACACAACCTGCCTGTCTGAGAGAGAAAACAGGCACTTTAGAACCAGACAGCCCCAGAACCAATCCCAGCCACTTCACTGACTCTCCAAGTGGCCTTGAGCAACTCTTTCCCTTCCATTCCTCTGTCTCCCCTTTCACAAAAGAGAAGACCCATGTGGGAGATCCCTCCCTCTCCCAGAATTCCAGGGCTCTACTCTTGTCTTAGAAATCTCCACTCACCCAGATGGCAGAATCATAAGCAGAGTGGGGACACAGCCCATTTCTGGGGTCCCTCAAAAAGAGGTTTCTTTAGATGGCAGTAGAATACTCTCTGTTGGGGTGGCTACCCATCAGAGTCACCTGACTCATGGATCCATCCTCCCAGGGACCTGATGCCAGACCTGGAAACCCCCATCAGAGACCCTCAGCTGGCTCCCCCAGAACCAGCAAGAGGAAACTGAGCAAAACCCACCATCTTCTTTTCAGGGGAAGCTGCCCCACTTTGACATGCGGCTACACAGGAGGACCTCCTTCCCAGGCAAGCCTGGCTGCCTAGGAGATAAAAGCAGATCAGGGTACTCAATAATGCAGCTCCAACCCAGCTCCCCTGCAACCCCACAGGCTCCCAGCCTGGGGCCCGTGGAGGAATCCAACTGGAGGCCTGACTCCTCCCACCAGCTCCCTCCCTGCTTCCCCTCCAACTCCTCCCCTCCAACCCCGACTCACACCCCTGTCCTCCCAACCCCCTGCAGAGCAAAGGGGAGAAAAATGCCAAAGGGTGAATTTCTGATTAAAAACCAGCCTCTGCTCCTTGCTTGGCTGTTCTGGCAAGAAAGTTTCCAGCCTGTGAATGTGTGTACCTGTGGGCTCTGGTGTGTGCCGGCTGCTGACAGGCAGCGGGAGACTGCATAGACCTGTGTGAACTGTGTGGTTACCTGTCTATATGTAAGGGCTATATATGGTTCTCTGTGTGTGCATGAAATGTGTACATATGCAGGAGTATGCATATAAATGGACATATTTAATGAGGCTTCGTGACACACACAGGTTCTTTAATACAGACACACCTTCTATTAAACTACCATCATTAGTTTGGGTTAATTTTTAAAATTGCTCTAGGGACTGGAGAGATGGCTCGGTGGTTAAGAGTACTGACTGCTCTTGCAGAGGACCCAGGTTTGGTTTCCAGCACCCACATGGTGATTAATAACTGCCCTTAGTTCCAGTTCCAAGGGATCTGATGCCTTCTTCAGACCTCGATGGGCATTACACGACATGGGTGCACTTACATACATGCAGGCAATACACTCATATACATAAAAAAAATAAAAATAATAAAAAT